TGTTGCAACGTTTGGAGAATATGGTAAGTTGGCAAACTCTGTTGGCATTTTCAACGATAGTCCCGCCCATTCCGGTGATTGAGAAATTATCTCGATAGGTAGGAAGCTGCAGACGTCTTTGAGCCTTTTCTGACACGAATGAATTTTGATAGCCTTGGTCTGTTAAGGCTCTTAGGGTAAAGAGTGTGCCCAAGTGCTTGACATGCACTTGGGCTGTGGGAAGAAGCGTCTTCTCATTGTTCGTCGAAAAATTCACTTGAACGGGGTGATAACTTACAGCCGAGGATGTGGGAGAGTCCTCGTAAGTGCCTTCAGTTATATTGAAAATGGGGCGTCTTGTACGACTGGAGGAAGGTTCGAGAGATTGGGTATGCAGCAGAGATGTGGAATTCAGGGATTGTTGAGTCGTTGATTTCTTAACAGGTGCATTAGCCTCAGGTTTACTAGTTGGTTTGACGTGCAACATTGTGTGATGAGCCTTCTTACAGTGAAGACATCGAAACATGCTTTGGCAATTATTGAGAAGATGGTTGTAGGCCAAACAGTTGGAACAGTAATTATTTTGTTCAACGAACTTGCTACGTTCTTGAGCCGAGAGTTTTCGAAACTCGGGGCAAAGCTTCAATGGATGGTTGTTACTACATAATTTGCATTTAGCCACTAACTTTTCCTGGGAATGGTAAGACTGCACCTTCGCGGATGCCTTTTGGGGGAAAGAACTTCGTGCCTTGGTTGTTTTATAGCTGTGCAAACGTTCAACTACTTCATACCGACTGGTGAGGAATTCATCCATTTGGCACCAGTTAGGAAGGTTTTTCTGGGTTCCCACAATGCTAGAGTCTCCTCGGGTACCTTCGTCGAGCATAGATATATTAGTATAGGGTCCCAGTCACTCACGGAAACCCCTTGGGATTTAAGGCACGAGAGGCAATCATTAATTGCGTTTTGAATTTTCTGGATTGCTTCGCTGTTTTCCGAACTAGCTGAGGGAAGGTTAAATAGCAACTTAAGTTGCTTGTCGAGCTCTTAAAGCGTCGCAAGCTAGGGAAAAGTTTTCGTCGCATAACTTGTAATGCTTGACAATGCTACCAGCCTTTCCGCGAGTCTTATTCTGTAAGTGATACAGTTTTTGAGCAGGGGTAAGTTTCGGGTGATTGAGGTAAACGGCCATATATATCATATCACGAAACGATGGCCAGTCCTCATAGCTACCATACAAGATCTGGGTATCACAGGGTGGGACTTTGATGCATGGAACAGAATGATCGAAGAAAACAGCAGAGCTACGCGAGGTCCTAGCCTGGTGACTTGGGTTACCTTGAAACATTTTAAGCTTGTCGAGAATGTGGGATTTGCAAATACAAAAACTATCAGTACATAATTGGAATTTGTTACCCGCTTCTTCTTTGAAGTCGGTGGGAACAGACCTTTCGATATGAGAGTTGTAAACANAGAAATTATCTCGATAGGTAGGAAGCTGCAGACGTCTTTGAGCCTTTTCTGACACGAATGAATTTTGATAGCCTTGGTCTGTTAAGGCTCTTAGGGTAAAGAGTGTGCCCAAGTGCTTGACATGCACTTGGGCTGTGGGAAGAAGCGTCTTCTCATTGTTCGTCGAAAAATTCACTTGAACGGGGTGATAACTTACAGCCGAGGATGTGGGAGAGTCCTCGTAAGTGCCTTCAGTTATATTGAAAATGGGGCGTCTTGTACGACTGGAGGAAGGTTCGAGAGATTGGGTATGCAGCAGAGATGTGGAATTCAGGGATTGTTGAGTCGTTGATTTCTTAACAGGTGCATTAGCCTCAGGTTTACTAGTTGGTTTGACGTGCAACATTGTGTGATGAGCCTTCTTACAGTGAAGACATCGAAACATGCTTTGGCAATTATTGAGAAGATGGTTGTAGGCCAAACAGTTGGAACAGTAATTATTTTGTTCAACGAACTTGCTACGTTCTTGAGCCGAGAGTTTTCGAAACTCGGGGCAAAGCTTCAATGGATGGTTGTTACTACATAATTTGCATTTAGCCACTAACTTTTCCTGGGAATGGTAAGACTGCACCTTCGCGGATGCCTTTTGGGGGAAAGAACTTCGTGCCTTGGTTGTTTTATAGCTGTGCAAACGTTCAACTACTTCATACCGACTGGTGAGGAATTCATCCATTTGGCACCAGTTAGGAAGGTTTTTCTGGGTTCCCACAATGCTAGAGTCTCCTCGGGTACCTTCGTCGAGCATAGATATATTAGTATAGGGTCCCAGTCACTCACGGAAACCCCTTGGGATTTAAGGCACGAGAGGCAATCATTAATTGCGTTTTGAATTTTCTGGATTGCTTCGCTGTTTTCCGAACTAGCTGAGGGAAGGTTAAATAGCAACTTAAGTTGCTTGTCGAGCTCTTAAAGCGTCGCAAGCTAGGGAAAAGTTTTCGTCGCATAACTTGTAATGCTTGACAATGCTACCAGCCTTTCCGCGAGTCTTATTCTGTAAGTGATACAGTTTTTGAGCAGGGGTAAGTTTCGGGTGATTGAGGTAAACGGCCATATATATCATATCACGAAACGATGGCCAGTCCTCATAGCTACCATACAAGATCTGGGTATCACAGGGTGGGACTTTGATGCATGGAACAGAATGATCGAAGAAAACAGCAGAGCTACGCGAGGTCCTAGCCTGGTGACTTGGGTTACCTTGAAACATTTTAAGCTTGTCGAGAATGTGGGATTTGCAAATACAAAAACTATCAGTACATAATTGGAATTTGTTACCCGCTTCTTCTTTGAAGTCGGTGGGAACAGACCTTTCGATATGAGAGTTGTAAACATTCCCATCGTGCATTGAGATCCTGAAGCTTGATTTCCAGCAAAGTATCAGTGTGGTCTTCCGGATCTTCTTTTTCAAAATGTTCACAGAAAGTTATAATATTGTTGGAATCGAAAAGAAAATCTGCCATTACTGCTGATTCAGTCGCCATGACTTGCAAAGCGGAAGTGCTTATGTATTGCAAAGATGAAAAATCGGGTTACTGTAAACAGTAAAAAGCCTAACTATCTTTCTTGAAGAGATATAGATCGAAAGCCCTTGGTATCTAAACGTGAGACCATAGGGTAGATGCAACCAAGAAAACTTTATTTACTTCGCAACTAGAAACTTTTGGCAAGGTCGAGAAGTGGGATTTTATTGGGTTTTTTTACCTTTTTTGTAGGTGGAATGAAAAGATGATTTAGATAGGTCAAGGCAAGCTCCTGGAGCTCAAACTCGGATAACAGATGCAATAGGTCGCTAATTAGCCGAACCTTCGAGGCCTGTTAGGGTGAATGACAAGCGTACCAAACAACCTTCAGAGAGAGATAAAAAGATTAGTCGAACCTTCCACGTCTGGGAAGATGAATGGCAAATGTACCAAAAAACCTTTAGAGAGAGAGCAAAAAATTAGTCGAACCTTTGACGTCTGTTAAGGTGAATGGTAAACGTACCAAACAACCTTGAGAGAGAGATAAAAAAATTAGACGATCCTTCGACGTCTGTTCGTAGCAGAGCTGAGTCACTTGTTCCTTGGAAACAAGTAACGCTCAGCAATGCGTGAACTACAAATACTCTTATTTTAAAATTCTCTACCCCTTACCACTGGTGGGGGGAAGTAGAGTTTAATAAAATAAGAGGTTAGTGCTTTCAATATTAATAATTTTACCCCTTACCGCTGGTGGGGGGAAGTAAAACCTTAATAAAGAAAGAAGAAGACAGATAGTTAGATGCTTTACCCCTTACCTCTGGTGGGGGGAAGTAAAGCATAAAATATAAAAGAAAGAAAAGAAGCGTGTTATTGAGAGTCTTTACGAATCTGAATAATTTATTCAACATTTTTCTTTTATATACAATTTTCTAACTCTATTTCCTTAACTAATTATATATGTATGTGTGTGTATATGTACATGTGCATGTATGTATGTATATTTACATAAGATTACCAACCAATGCCTTGGTCTTCTAATTATATTTTTATTGCTTGCATGTGCATCGGCTATATACATGCAAAGCCTATTATCTAATGCATTTTCTAATGCATGCATAGGTACAGTGACGAGCAAAAATGTAACATGGTTTAACACTTTTTGTTTCAGCCACCGCTATATTTCCAAGTTCTAACGCCTTTCATACTTTTGCTGTATATTCTTGTTGGTACATTCCTACTCCCTCTCTCATAATGATTTGAAGTCAATAGAACAACAATAATAAAACCAGCAGACAAAAATGTAAATTAAGGCAGATATTACAGTTTTGCACTCATATATTTTTAAGAGCTTTTTAACAATTTTCACGAAAAAAAGAACTACTAACACAATGTTCATTACTCTTTTGCCTGTTTCAGTTCCTAGATGTGATTTGGCATACCTTATTTGTATCTTTGTANATATTTACATAAGATTACCAACCAATGCCTTGGTCTTCTAATTATATTTTTATTGCTTGCATGTGCATCGGCTATATACATGCAAAGCCTATTATCTAATGCATTTTCTAATGCATGCATAGGTATGTGTGTATATATATTTGTATGCAAGAGATAAACGCATTGATCTCTTATTTCAGTATGTATTATAATTTATGTTTTGATAAGCAGCAATCTTCGTACTCAGGCAACAAGATCGCAGAGAATTTCGATTGCTTTGCTTATCATACATTTGACATAGTAGTGGACTGTATACATATACGTAAATATTTTCTGTATGTAAATAAGTATGTTTTGTTTCTTGCATTGCATGTGCAGACAAATCGATCCTTTTCTAAATACATGTTCATATGGATGAGTATATGTTATTGGCTAAGTAGGTACATACATATGCACGTATTTTTTATGTTAAATTTTATTACCCTGGCAGATATGTACTCATGTTCAAAGATGTTTGAACATATTGCCGAGGACAAAAAAGTGATTATTTGTGTACTGTGTATACATATATTTTTAAATGTTTTTACTACCTATATTTATTATCTTACTTAGGCAGATATACCCATGTTCAAAGATATTTGAACAACGTCTGTTAAGGTGAATGGTAAACGTACCGAACAACCTTTAGAGAGAGAGCAGAAATTAGTCGAATCTTCGACGGGATCGACCACGGTACCAGTCAGATCATCCGGTAAGTGTGAGAGAAAAATGAATGTGCAAAAATTATTTAACGCAGACGGCGTTCAGATTTTTTTTTTTTTTTAATTAGACCGTTAACACGGGATAGAAGTTGATAACTGTTTGGCTTACAGTTCGCAAACCATTCAGGAGAGAAATTGGTTTTGTTCAAAATAAATGTCGACTTTCATTGCTATCCGTACCGTGACAGGGAATTATTTTCTTAATCCTTTAAAGAACTTGTCTGTTACGCTAACGCACGCAGCGAGCCGTACGAAAAAAACGTATAAAATCGACCTTTATTTTTTATTAACCCCAAATATATACGTGTGTAGTAAATGACGATATATACGTGGGAAGTAAGTTATTTATATAATATACGTGTATCTAATAGGGATATAAAATATATAATTCACAGCTTTGCCGAAGATTTCGATCGGCCGTTGGGTTGGACGCAAGTTTTCAGAGCCGAACGTGTTCATGCACGTAATGCAACTTGCCGTAAATACGTTCGACTGTTAGTGTATATATACCGGATAATTAACGCACCCAAACCACTGTATTTTGATTTTGACCATTTAGCAATTAACGCGAATAAAGCACTTCGCAAAAAGTATTTAGTTCAATGGTAGAAAAAATGTAAACAAATGCAAATCTAATAAGAATTTGAAATGATTGAGTCCTAACACCTGCCCAACCGGTTCAAATTTGATATGAATTTTACGTAAATACAAGGAAGTGATACTAGTGCGAATACGAATACAAAAGAATTCAAAAAAAAAAAAACAAAAGGCACTGTTTTGAATACACACATGCATTCATACAAGTAGTAAGGTTTGCTGCTGCTCCGGTGGCTCAATCGGAGCAAGCTTTGCTGCTCCGCCAAAAGATGTCGCCGATCGAAATCCAAGCTCGGAACCCAGATAAAAGCCGCAAGATGTCGCTGATANCACCGCCAAAAGATGCCACCGACCGAAATCCAAGTTTAGAACCCAGATAAAAGCCGCAAGATGTCGCTGGTAACAAATCCGAGTCCAGAACCGGAACCGATCACAGGGTGTACCGCTGATGGAAATCTGAGAAATCCGATACCATTCAGAACCGGAATCGATAACAGGGTGTACCGCTGATGGAAATCTGAGAATTCCGATACCAGGTGGTTTATATGTCGAAAATTAGTAAAGTGTGTTGGTATGCAGTCAGAAATATATACAAACCGTACATATGTATATACATATGTAGATGCTCCACCCCTAGAATGAAGAAGTGTGTTAATAATGTGCACATAGTTGATTGCTAAGTATTTAATATGTATGTGTATATGAATGGAAAGAAGATGAGAACAAATAAAATTTAATTCGAAATAAAAGAAAGTTTTATAATTACTTATTTATTTTGATAATAAGAATTTTAAGCATAAATGGCCACAATTATATGAATTATAGCTTTGCTGTTGATTATAGTTATAGTTAATGTTTTTTCCTAAATACTTTATTATTTGCTTAGGAGGCTGTAAGTTTCCAAAGCTATCGAAGTAATCAATCTCATTATCGTTTTTCCAGTAAGCTACCCAATGCGTTCCCGGACCATATAATTTTTTCTTTTCATTAATGAATGGATATATTCAATAACAGTCATTAAAGTCGAATCACCCTCTTCCCATTTTAATTCGTGATGATTATGATATAACCAGTTGTTAGTTGTTTATATGTTGATATGCTGACTTCTTTAGCAATAAATTTCTTATTAAAATAGACTCCCTCAACGTCTATAACCAACGTATATATACAAGGTGGTTTATATGTCGAAAATTGGTAAGGTGTATTGGTATACATATATACATACGTATTCTCATACATACATCTATATGCAAACGTACATACATACATATGTATATACATACATAGGTGCTCCACCCATAGAAAAGTGTCATATAGTCAATTGCTAAGTATTTAATATGTATGTGTATATATACATATATATGAATGGAAAGGTCTGTTGAAGTTGAAAACAAACAAGATTTAATTTGAAATAAAATGAAGTGTTATAATTACTTATTTATTTTTATTTATTAGATATTTAATGGAGAAATAAAGTTTCTTAATATTATTACATTTTTTTCAGCACATATCATAGAATTTTTATGATATTTACAAGTATTTATATTTGTATTTTTAATATATAAATTCTTTAAATTTGGACAATTTAAATCATCTAAATTATATAAAATAATATCGTATCCGAATAAACGTTGAATCCATCTGATTTTCTCCAATCCTTTAGCATAGAATATATAATTTTTTCTTTTCATTAATGAATGGATATATTCAATAACAG